ATTACGTTGTAAACTGTGTAAACACAGTACTATCTTCTTGATCTTGATCTTGATATGGTACACCGACAGTAACCAATTTTGACGTGGCGTCGGCGGGAGTCGAGAGAGGGCTGCCTGTGTTTAGTCACAGTTGTTTAGGCTTGTTTGAGTTTGCCACGTGCAGGCTCTCTTCTTGACACCGTTTTCCACACTCTATCTTCTTTTTTTGCTGAGTGCTAAGCGGAGAAGCAGTGTGTACCATTTTTCAAGTCTTTGGTATGACCCGGCCAGGATTCGAACCCACGACCTTACGCATGCGAGGCGAGCACTCTACCATTGAGCCATCGCCACAGTTCATTAAGTCTCGCTTAAATACCATTGCCTCGGTGGTATTAAGACATGTAAATGCAGGGGTAGAAATTGACTTTTACACAAGGTAGTCCAACAGACTGCCTACTCTCAAAAAGAGGGAGTTCGCAGCGAAATGAGTCTGAGGTTCAAAATTAAAGATATTAACAATAACGCATGTGATTATTTTTAAGAATTCATGCAGTTGCATAGTCTGCCAAATTTCTCTTGGACATTGCTGAAAAAATACAGTAATTCCGCGAGGCGGTGCTCCGGAACTGAACTATTAGTAGAGCAGAATTTTCAGGGAGTCCCACGGACTCCTGCATATGTCAAATCAGGAGTCGACAGTTACATTAGGGGTATTTGACTCGGGACTCCCGTTAAATTTTGCACCCTGTAATGTTACTTATCGATTTCGTGCAAACATGATGAGGATCAAGAAAGATATATATATAATATTATATATATATATATAAATTTGTGTGTGTGTGGGTAATGTTGTAGATAACTGCAGGGCCGAAATTAGCACCGGAATATTGCCGGCAATTATTTTGGAGGGCCGAGTAACATTTGGCCAAAACACGCGCCCTCCGAGCGGTGGTTTCAAGCCGTCGTTGCGATTACCTTACATATTTTTATTTTATAGCATTACTTAAAATTAGCAAGTAGATTAACAGTACTGTTTTACCATGAAGGCATACTCACCGCCATAATTCCTCAACATTTTGCAATTTAAAAATCGATGAATGCAAAGCTTGAAACATGACATTGACCAAAAACACTGTCGGACAATCATTCACGATTCTACATTATAGTTCTGTTCACAGTTACTACGCGATGGTGCCGCACACTATAACATTTTTTCGAGACAAACAATAGGTCTGGACAGTATCCACTGTGTTTCGAAACTTCTTATCTTTATTTCTTGAAAAAACAATGCAAGGGCTCGCGCTAAATATGGTGAGGGCCTGGTTAAAAGTAACTGCTGTGCCAGCCTCTTGGGTCGGTGCCAAAATTCCTGAATATTCTTATGCCCATGTACCTGTACTACTAATTATGCCACAGCAGAAAACATCTAAGAATGCCCATCGTATAAGTTTTATAGTCTTGGCATTCTTGTATGATGGGTAATAGTAAGTTGCTGATGTGATTTTAAATATTATTTTAGGCATTCGGGCATGGAGTAAACGAGTTTCAATCGATCACACGCCCTAGAGCAAGCACGATATCTACAGGTGAGCCATTTATCGGTAGATGCTCTTGAACTGATTTCGTATTGATCCAGGATGCCATTTTACAAAATAGAAAAGGTGTTGCAATTGTTGCTTAGCAACATGAACAGCATCAGCCTGCAGCCTGAATGATCTATGATTGTTAGACGCAGCTGCGCCCGGTATAGCGCGAGCGCGAACGCAACAGCACCACTGGTGTGGCCATTAGGAGTCAATTCGCTGCCCCAATATTAGTATAGACCTATATACCGCAAATCACTTTGTGTAGTACATAAGCCCAGAATCGCGGTGAATTGAGCAGTCTTGGCCATTGCCGAAAATTTTTGGACTTTGCACGTAGTGCGAGAATAAATCGATAAAGGGATGTCTTTTCGTACTTTGTTTGCGTTTTGCGCGTTGCGTTTTTTTCTATCAGACAAGAAACGCATTTTCTATTTATTTTTATTTAACACGCTCCTGACAGTATTTCTGTACATATCGCGGCCATAGGTCGCGCCACGAGGCTCTCCGTTCGAGCATTCAGCACAATAAATTTCCTGAGACGGGCCCAGCGGTGCATGTTTTGACACGCTGGCACGTACACTCAAACTTTGTGTCGTAAGCGACAAGAGACTTGCCCGACATTAACGTCCGTACCAGTCTACACTGGAATCGGTGATCATCCGCGTTGTTCGTTATACTGTAGCCATCTTGCTTTCTCCTTATGAACTGTTCACCTCTCCCCGCCGCGCTCGCATCTCCTCTCAGACTCTAGCCCGTTTGCCGTTTTTGTGCATTATTACCCAGCCGACTGGCAGGTAAGAATCAAGCTGCACGTAACAAGCACGACACCTGCCAATGAATCATCAGCTTATCGTTTCTCAGACTGAAGCCACTAGCGGCACTTAACGTCAAAAGCTTTTGACGTTAGCAAGTTTTAAAAGCATGTTTTTACCTTGCTCGTGTACACATAATCTTCTAACGTGTCGTCGACGGAAGGCTGCATCATCAACTTAGTACGAGGTCCGCCTATTCCAGCACCAAAGTCAAACGGTAGGTTGTCTCTTCCAGGGGAAGACGACATGTCGTCAACATTGCCTTGACTGCCTCGTTTTCCAGCGCCCGTGTTTCCCATCGCTCAAATTCTAATGCGACCTGTAACGAGTAATAAAAACTGTTGCAAACTGTACTACTGTCTGCAGATTCTAGTCATTCTTATTACCCTTGTTAGTATATTCATGTGATTCAGCCCTCGGGGGCCCACTCCTATAAGCCGGGCGCACACGTGGCGATTTTTACTGCTAGTACTGGCGATTTTTATTGCCAGTACTGGCGATAAAAACACAATTTACCTCAAAGCCCCAGTACTGGCGACAATGCAACGATCTGTCAGCAACATACCACTGTATGAACTGTACGTGACCTGTTCAAAATGGAAGCGCCCATTGATACCACGATAGCCGTTCTTCAATTTACTGGAATATATATAATTGTTTTTTCTTTCTTATTCCTATCACTGTAAATCCCACTCGTAATATTGAAAAGACATGGGCGGTTCTGCCAGATTTCAACGTGTTCGTCCTCCCTCGTTCTCTCCCATACACCGGGCGCTGCCATATCTGATCACGTGCTTCAAATCATGCATTTGATTGGTTAATCCAAAAACTGTTGCCTGAATCCGTCGCCAGTGCAGCGCACACGTAGCGATTGTTCAGCGACTTGGCAACAAATATCAAACATGTTTGATATTCCAGCGACGAGTTTCTGGCGTCAAAATCGTCATCGCCATGCAGGGCACACGTGGCGATTTCTCGACGATCTTGTTGCTGGCAACAAAATCGCCAGTGCTAGCGATAGAAATCGCCACATGTGCGCCCGGCTATACTAAAGTGGTACGCATGCTCGTCAGAGCATCTCAAAATTGGACCCTAAATGGCGTATCCAGCAGTAGCAAATTTCACCCCTTATTGGCGTAAGATAATGTAAATCTCACCCCTAAATGGCGCAAGACACTAAAACGGCCCCCTGAATGGTGTAGCACAATAAATTGGTCCCTTAATCATGTTAATTGTGTAATGACAATTTTCTCACTCAATAAGAGATATACACTGGAAGCTATATTTATTCATTTATTCATTTTGGTGAATTTTCATTCAATGACGAAAACAGGGCGAAAAGGTGATCCTAAACATCGAAAAGTACCCAGTGGCGACACCAGGATTGTAAACGTGGGGGGGGGGCAAGCTGAGGGCAAGGAAAAATTGGGTGGGGGGTAAAATGTTGTGATTGCGTAGGGGCCGGCCATACGGGCCATGATGGGGTCCAGGGGGCAAAGCCCCAAGAAGCTCTAAGCTTCTAGCATTTTTTAGGTAAAAAATCAAGCCTCTGTATCCCTTAAACAGAGAAATAAACATGCTTGTACAGCACTTCTAATCCATATCCAAACTTCTAATTTTACTGTATTGCACTATTGTTGTAAATAAAAGCTATCCACGGAAATGGCTGTTTCGCAGAAAAATAAAAGACATGTAAATTCCGTTCAAATGCTCATCTGCAACACACAAGTACACTGCACGCCCACCATGTGCACAAACAACATGAATAAGAGAGGATATTATTCATGTTGGTTGGATTGGATGTTGTTTTGGATGGATGTTGTTTGGATGGATTGGGAAGTTGAAATGTGGGGATGCTGTTGGGATGGGTGTTGGTTTGGATGTTGGTTGAATTTACTCTCTTATTCATGTTGTTTGTGCACATGGCGGGCGTGCGGTGTACTTGTGTGTTGCAGATGAGCGATTTGACCGGCATTTACACGGTATTATAGGCGAAATAGAGTTAGAGAAACATTAAGATTGGTACAATTTCGTGTTTATTTAGCTTTTTTTTTTTTTTATTTGAGACGTTTCAACGTGGCCTGCATGTAGGGATGTACGTTAATATAACGCGTAAATCAGCCCTTTGTTAGCTCTGTATAAATCTAATATAGTAGTATCTCAAGGACCTCGACACTGTGCATTTATAATTTGAACTAGTGCGTCACTGACTTATGCTGCTTTAGTCAAATTTTGGCTTAGCTGTCGGAGTGGAGCAAACGGATCCCTACGCATTGGATGGCTAGCACTGCAGCAGGAAGGCAAACAGACGCGGGTGTGAGTGAAAGCATAGCTCACTTCAGCCCGGGAAATGCGATAGGAAATCGCGCATTAAGATTGTTTGGCAATTGTGAAAAACGAGCTGCGTGTAAAGCAAAATTGACCGTTTGGCATTTAAAGATGCCAGGGTGCCTCCCCGGTGCTTACTCGGATACTCTGCACTTGTGTTATGTAAGAAGACTTAAAAAATGGCCTTGATCGGCCCCATGAAATTTGGTGAACGTTCTCTCTTATGTTTACATGATTAGTGTCTGTGCGCTGCATTTGTTTGGCGGCTCGTGTACGCCAGGACTAATCGACTCAAAATCTTTGCATTAGTTCTATTCAGACTAGTTGTAGGAAAATATACCGTTGAATGTTATGATTAGCAAGAACATGTATCTTAGATTACCTATCTTGTATTTTACGCAAGATGATTGATAAGCGTAGGTATGTGGCTCGTTATGTCGGGATGGTTAATAGAAAAAGGGCAACATTGTCGGAAGTGGAAACGGCGTGGTTTACTGGCGCGAACATGAATTGCTGTAATGGTGATTTAAACAGTTAAGTTAGAGTATAGAATTGAAAGTTTTAATATTTGTGAAGGTTTAGTATTCGCGTCGTATCTATATCATAGATTACTCCCAAGGTGGGGATACCCACCTAACGGTACCCCAAGGTGTGGGGGTAGCCAAACGGTTGGTAGCCTAAAAGTTTAGCCCAAAGTTTAGCCAAGGTGGTACCCAAGTTTGTGGTACCCAAGGTGCGGGGTAGTATTATGTCTATATTCATCCAACTTTAAATAACGCGTGAGGTTATGAAACGAGTTTTTTTTCCCACGATCAAACTGTCCGGAAGAATTCAAGACCCAGTAAGAAGACAGGGCGTCATTGCTGCTTGACAGTGCATCTTCAAAGCGGTCCCTTATTTTAGTTATCTTTTGTTTCTGTCGTTCGTATTGGAATTGCTTCCTTCTCTTTTAGCTTCATTGCAATCTGGGGCTTTTTTAACTTGCGATGGCGCCAGTATTTTATCTGTGCATGTATGTCCAACTTACATTTTTGTTCTCTTTCCGTTTTCCGTCGTGGTTGGACTTTGAAGGCTATGATTATTTATGAGTGTAATCTATCCTTATTACACTCTTACGACGCGAAACTCTCTCATCTTCCCATGCGCTTACGTTTATTAGTTTGTTAGAGTAGGAGGCAAACAGTAAATATATTTTATATACATTCATTATATAAACTTCATTTTTGCAGTGGCTATCCGAGCGATATCGCCAGGATCCTTTTGTTTGCAGAGTAACACCGAAAGAGAAATTATCCACTCGAGAAGCCACCATAAAACGAGCATAGCCAGAGGGGAAGAATTTTATGTTTTTCGTCTGGAAACCAAGAGACCAGAGTATAGGACTTATTATCTTTCGGGTGGATACGCGCGAGGAATGGGACCCTGGTGGATGCAGGGGTATGCGTGCGCAAAAGATTCGAGAGGCATGGCGATTCTCAGCATGCAGCATCGCAGTGACCGTTATCTCCGTCACCTGTCCGCATGCAGCCTCTATTCAGGGATAGTTTTATCTTGTGTATTTTCGTGCACAATTCTTATAGGCCGATGTACAGCATGTGCCTGTTAGAACGCTAATTCTACAGAAAGATCCCACATTGTCAGTGCATTTATTTACCAGGCATCTTTATGTAGAATTTGTTGCACATTTTATAATTAAAAAAAAGGCCTCATATATATATACATATATATATATATATATATATACATATAAGAATATGTACATTTAGTTTCATGCTATAACAGCGGTTATTAGATGATACTTGTGAGTTGGCTTCATGTGTAAATGTAGTTTTGCTTTTGGCACAGAATGGATATGAGAATCAGTCTTCAATATCTTTCATTGAAGGCATGGATGGTGGCTATTTCACATCGTATGTTGGCGTTGTTTACGTGTATAAGCACTCGCGTCAGATTATATAGTTTATTTATGTGTTTTATACTTATTTAGTCAGCATGATTGGCTGACCATAAATGAATGGTGTATATATATTTTATGATATTTTTATTATTTTTATGATGTATGTATTTTATTTATTATAATTTCTCTATTGAAGATGTCATATATGTTTTCCAGTAGGCCAATATGGGACCAGCCAAGTTTTTAACCTAAAGACCACCCACACTCAAAGGTATATAAGGTCAAGGTCTTGCTAAGAATTGATGTATTATATATGTGTATAATGTGGCACTCAACAGTTGGTTTAAAAACCACCAGCAAGACAAATACTGTGCAAATGTTATTATAATTGACATGCAAATTATGTTGTGAAGTAGAACAGGAACATCGTTGAAATGCATGGAACGCTATGGTGATACTGCAATATTTTGTCTGTGCATAAATACGTTTTTAAATCCATCCTTGTGGTTTATCGGCCATATAAGCTGGAATGTTGGTGTTACAAGAAGTCAAACTCCACGACAGATGGCGCTCTGGCTCAATTCATTAGGCAACCAAGTAATAAAAAAATGCACCAAATATTCATACCTAGGGGATTTAATGAATGATATAGGAGGTTTTAAAGACATGATAAGAGTCCGAACTGAAAAATGTAGGTCTATGATGAGGGAAATATGATCATGGGCAGAAGAGCAAAATTATGGAAATCATACTATAGAAGCAAGAGTGAAATTATACGAATGCACAGTTTTACCTTCCTTCCTAAATAACAGTGAAACATGGACTAACTTAACTAAGGAAGAAGTAAAAATGTTGGAGGATTTCCAAAATGAGTGCCTGCGCAAAATAATAAAAGCTCACAGTAAAACACCACTGGAAGCACTAAGGATAGAGTTAGGAATTTTACTAATAACAGGTTACAAGGATTACAAAGGATACAAAAAACGCATGCTACTACAATACATAGTTAAGCTAGATAACAATAGATTAATGAAGACAGTATTTATACAGCAGGTCAAAGAGGAAGGAAAAAAATGGGTAAATGAAATTTTAATAATCGTAAAGGAGTACGAACTTGAAATATTATTTACAGCCATATAGGAATAAAACCAAAAAGAGCCTGGAAAAAAACAAGTCAAAGATGCCATCTTAAAAAGAGTAGTTAAAAGAGACAAATTGAAAACTAGAGATAAAACAAAAATGAAGATGATAAACATTGAAACATACGGATTGAAGGAATATATGAAAGAATTATCATTTGCCGACTCGTGTTTTGCATTTAAATGTAAAACTTGCATGATTGATCTCAAGGGTTACTTTAGAAATAACTTCAGTGATGACAGGTGTAATCGATGTAATAAGAATATAATAGAAGACTTGGAACATTTATATAAATGTGATAGCTATAATAAATATAAGGATGGAGAGGGGACAACCACGGGTTATTGAAACCAGCGTTATATTATGTGCGGAAAATTCGAGTGATTCGAAACACTAACATTAGAGAATTAGAGGCGGCATTAATCTCCCTCTTCTCTTGATAATCCCCGCACCTCGTTGAATCGAGTGCCTTATGAAATACAAGAGAGGGAGCCAAGATACAAGATACAAGTGGTATCCTGAGTTGTACTAAGGGGCGCTGCATGCAGTTTGACAAGCAGTTAGCTGCCGTGGATAATGTAGAATCCTCGTATCCAAAATTCTTTAGTAATTATTTACAACAAAAGCTGTATATTTAATTTGAAAATAAACTGGGGTATTTTCACATTTTAGAAGCATGTTTTAATAATCACTCGCATAATAACTGGCAACATTATGACACAGTGACAAATATTTGCAGTTGCAGAAAGTATGTCAACTCTAAAATTTATGGCAGTATTGCCTATAAAATACTCTAGTTCATTAGACAATAATTTTGCATAGTCAAATTTGTTCATGATATATGACTTGTTACAACTATAAATTTCGTATTGGTGGTTTATTACTTCAGGTATTTCTACGCATCTGTGATGACGACATTCCGCATTATCATAATAACCTAGTATTATAACAGATCCTGATATCATGCCAATCTCATTCTTCTTTCGAAAGAGGATTTGCCGCTTATATACCATATATTAATATATACCGCATATTAATTCGTGATGGGTACTGACAGGTCAATACGATTACCATCTTGAAGAATAGCGAATGAAAGTATGGTAATGAGGAATTATATTTTATAAAATCAACACTGGTAACCTCTCACATTGATTGTACGAGATGATATCGCTTGGATATAGTGTGTGTGTGTGTGTGTGTGTGTGTGTGTGTGTGTGTGTGTGTGTGTGTGTGCGTGCGTGGGTGTGGGTGTGTGTGTGTTTGTATGGGTTCTTGTATCTGCGTGCGTGCGAGCGTGCGTTGGTCCACATCATACCATAGGTGTGACGTCTTAACATGGTCGTGGTATGCAACCTGTGCGAATTATGTTTCACCCTCTCCTAAAAATACATTTGTTTAATTCCCAAATTTAATCATATGCTCGCGCAGTGGTGCCCGCGGCAACTAAAACAAATATCGTCATATTTCTGCCGGCACCTTATCAACCCAATGGTTCTTGAGAGTGGGGAAGCCGCATATTTAAAACCGCAAAGCGTCACGCGCTAATACATTATACAAACAATGCTCATTAAGGTTACATAGATGTATGAGATTATATTGCAAATATTAACACACGGGGCAGCAAATTCTTAATGAAAGATGCCGATGAATAACCACCGTCGGAGGGCGCTGTTAATACAACGATTCATGAAAACAGAAAATGAATTCAGAAATGTATATGTATTACAGCGATCGGTTTTACTACCGGGATTCGACTCAACAGTCAACACACACAATAATTCGTCATAATAATTATGATCACACATATTTCCTACATGTGATGAACGTAGTAAAAGATTAAGCACTTCGCTCGGCAGGTATTCCATTTTTTATGGACGTTCCTGAGTGACGCCATGTTTGATGACTCGCCATGTTTGATGACGCGCCATGTTTGGCAGCGTTGGTAATAAAAACCCGCGTTCGAACGCACCCCGTAATTTGCTATTTTAAAATTTTCGTTTTCTTTCCACCCGCGTCGTGTGTGCGTGTGTGTGTGTGTGTGTGTGTGTGTGTGTGTGTGTGTGTGTGCGCGTGTGTGTGCGTGTGTGTGCGTACATGCGCGTACCGGTGGTGTATGTAGTGGATTGTGAATGCGCCCACGCTACTAGTGTATCACGATTCTTACTCAGTGCGTTTGTGCGTTTACTCAGTGCGTTTTGTTTTGCGAAAGGTGATCGCAAACAACATAACATCAGTTCACTCTCACGAAAATATCGCACACATCTCGCGAAGCTTCCTTTTCGCATTAATGCTCTCGCTCTCGAGAATGGCGGGAGTCTGCTGACGTCACACCACATCAATGCAGCTTTATGTTAGTATGATCGCCGCATATAGGCAGCAGCTTGGAGATACGATCTTTATAGCCTCCGCTGGCCTTCCCCGCGGGGAAGGGATGTCTTACCTCGTCATGCCTTTACTCGTTGTCGCTGAACGTGGCGATGAATGCAAACTGAAAACAACTTTGTACTCGCGGAGGGATGGTGTGTGTGTTTGTGTGGGAGGGGGGTTACAGATCTCGATTTCGATCGAAGGAGAAAGAGTTACGGCTCACGGATTAAACCGCTAATAATACGACGACGCCGCGTCATTAATACTCAGCGTCTGCGTGACGTTACGATGACGTCACCAAGCGCGCGGTCAGAGGTGGCGACCTCTAGTGTTGGACGTTGACGTGAGTGAGTGAGTGAGTGAGTGAGTGAGTGAGTGAGTGAGTGCGAGTTATGTAACGAGCGAGGTGTTCTCAATGCTGAACTACTGCCATGTGCGGCGCACGTATGCTTGCTTCGACTTTCTCCCCTTGTCATCATTATCTTCACTAAGTTACATATACGGTCCTAGTTTATTACGAGTTAAAATGGAGTCGTATATACAGTGAATGCTGCACTTCTCTGCGCGTGATTAGCTCTTTTATTAAGCTTTGCGCGTAGAATACGTGAGTGGGTGGTTGTATAGTTTTATGTTCCGATTCTTCGCTCTCTCTCTCTCTCTCTCTCTCTCTCTCTCTCTCTCTCTCTCTCTCTCTCTCTCTCTCTCTCTCTTTCTTCCTCGCGCGCTCTCTTTCAATATAAAATTAACATATAGGTTCTGAAGCGAATTATCGTTCAGATAACACTACATCTTACACGTACGCAAAACTAATGTATTAGTTATATAAAATAAAAATAAATAACCGTCTTTCTCAAGAACACAATTTCTTAGATCAGGTTTGATGGACAAATGGAAATATTTTTGCGATTAAAAAAATGTGTGTGAGATATTTTCCATATTCAGGGTTAATTTATGCTGGAAACTGAACAGCTGTGAATACTCGACGTCATCTTGATACTACGTAATAATAGGATGATGTGATGTTCATGCATGCGTCTGTGCGTACATGCGTGCGTGCGATCGTGCGTGCGTGCGTTCATGCATGCGCGCGTGCGTGTGTGCGTGCGAGCGTGCGTTCATGCATGCGTCTGTGCGTACATGCGTGCGTGCGATCGTGCATCGCGTACGAGGAAGCCGGATCTCTCCGTAAAACGCGGATCACGGTTATTATCACTAGACGTACCGTACGTACTACGTTACGGACAATCTCTCACGATGCCGTCACTCGCTGCCAAGCTCGGCGCCTATTCCCGCATTACAGGTGCGCGAAACCTCTGCTGTTACTTCACGTGCGTGCACCCACTACTACTCGTGCTATGAAAATCTGAGATTCCGCAGTTAGTTCTTGTGTGCGCACCCCCTACTTATGCTATGAAAACGTGAGATTCCGCAGTTAGTTCTTGTGCGTGCACCCCCGCGCTTATAGCATAGATACGTCAGAGGTCTGCTGTTACTTCTTGCGCATGCACGCCCCGCCTGTACATGATTCAGGTGGGAAATTAACACGCGTGCGTGGCTCATGACTTGACTCATGTGCCAGGAGCTGCCGTGTATGCTGTGCGCTCGTTTGTCCCCAGCGTCGGGTTTTGCGCTGGTTTGTCGTTATAGAATACTAACGAAATCAGTATAATGATTGTAGACAGGATTTACTGGTTTGCAAGCCCGTGTGTGCATGCGCGCACAGATGCACGCACTTATGCACAAGCACGCACACACGCACGTACACACACACGCACTTCGCGCGCACGTACACACACGCGCACTTCGCGGCCACGCACGTACGCACGCACACACACACGCACTTCGCTTCGATAAATCTTTCGTTCAGTTCTTCTGTCAGTGAAAATATACGTTGAATTTGATTAGCAGCAAACATGTAATCTTAGATTACCTATCTTGTCATTTTACGCAAGATTGATTGCATAAGTAGGTATGTGCTCGTTATCGGGATGGCTTACGAAAAAGGGCAAATTGTCAGGAAAGTGGAAACGGCGGTGGTTTACCTTGGCGGAAAATGAATTGCTGTATGGTGATTCTAAACAGGTAAGTTAGAAGTTAGAACTTGAAAGTTTTAATATTGTGAACGGTTTAGTATTCGCGCTCGTATCTATATCATAGATACTACCCCAAGGTGGGGTACCCCAACCTAAGGTACCCAAGGTGGGGTAGTATCTATGTCTATATTCATCCAAACTTTAAATAACGCGTGACTGGTTATGAAACGAGTTTTTTTCCACGATCAAACTGTCCGGAAGCAATTCAAGGACCCAGGTAGAAGACAGGGGTCATTGCTGTTGACAGGTGCCATCTTCAAAGGGTCCTTATTTAGTTTCTTTGTTTCTGTCGTTCCGTATTGGAATTCTCTCTCTTCCTCTTTAGTTAATTGCAAATCTGGGGCTTTTCTACTGCGATGCGCAGTATTTATCTGTCCAATTGATCAACTTTGTCTCTTTCCGTTTTCCGTCGTGTTGGACTTTCCGTCGTGTTGGACTTTGAAGACTATTATTTATGAGTTAATCTATTTATTACTTTAGAGTAACTTTATTTTATGAGCTTACTTTATTAGTTTCTAGAGTAGGAGGCAAACCAGTAAAATATATTTTATATAACTTCATTATATAACTTCATTTTTGCAAGTGGCCTATCCGAGCATTGCCCAGGATCCTTTTGCTTTGCAGAGTACACCCAAGAGAATACCACTCGAGGAAGCCACCATAAAAGACGCATCAGCAGAGGGGAAGAATTTATGTTTTTCGTTGAAACCAAGAGACCAGAGTAGGACTTATTATCTTCGGGTGGATACGCGCGAGGAACTGGACGCGTGGATGCAGGCGATATGCGTGGCAAAGATTTCCGAGAGGCATGGAGATTCTCAAGCCTGCAGCATCCAGTGACCGTTATCCTCCGTCACCTGTCCCTCATGAGCCTCTATTCAGGGATAGTTTTATTTGTATTTTGTCGCACAACTTCTTAGAGGCCGATGTACACATGTGCCTGTTCAGACGTATCTCTACAGAAGATCCCACATTGTCAGTGCATTTAGTTTCAGCTATAACAGAGGTTTTCAGATGATACCCTTGTGAGTTGGCTTCATGTGTAAATGTAGTTTTGCTTTTTGCACAGAATGGCATATCGACGAATCAAGCTTCATATCTCATTGAGCATGTGGTGGCATTTCACTCGTATGTTGGCACGTGTTACGTGTATAAGAACTCCGTCCAGATTAATATAGTTATTTATGTGTTTATACTTATTTAGTCAGCATGTTGGCTGACCATATGATGGTGTATATATATTTTATGATATTTTATTATTTTTATGATGTATAGTATTTTATTTATATAATTTCTCTTATTAAGACTTCATATATGTTTTACAGTAGGCCAATATGGGACCAGCCAAGTTTTTAACCTAAAGACCACCCACACTCAAAGGTATATAAGGTCAAGGTCTTGCTAAGAATTGATGTATTATATATGTGTATAATGTGGCACTCAACAGTTGGTTTAAAAACCACCAGCAAGACAAATACTGTGCAAATGTTATTATAATTGACGTGCAAATTATGTTGTGAAGTAGAACAGGAACATCGTTGAAATGCATGGAACATAGCGGTGATACTGCAATATTTTGTCTGTGCATAAATACGTTTTTAAATCCATCCTTGTGGTTTATCGGCCATATAAGCTGGAATGTTGGTGTTACAAGAAGTCAAACTCCACGACAGATGGCGCTCTGGCTCAATTCATTAGGCAACCAAGTAATCAAAAAATGCACCAAATATTCATACCTAGGGGATTTAATTAATGATATAGGAGGTTTTAAAGACATGATAAGAGTCCGAACTGAAAAATGTAGGTCTATGATGAGGGAAATATGATCATGGGCAGAAGAGCAAAATTATGGAAATCATACTATAGAAGCAAGAGTGAAATTATACGAATGCACAGTTTTACCTTCCTTCCTAAATAACAGTGAAACATTCCCCTCCACCTCCACATCCACCCCTCCCTCTCACCCATCCACGTAACATGCATCGCAACGGCGCGAAATTGCGGCGTGAAATCGCCACGCTGTAGTGGTGTTGGTGTTGACGTGCTGCATACGCCGTGTAAACCCCATACCTACCACCGATAATACGATGCTAGCACATGCAGCTGTGCTCGGACTCTGACTGACTGTTTGGTTGCTGCTGCTGCTGCAGGGACGCGCACACGTAACAAGCCGTCGCTATTAAAGGGCCACCGTCGGCTGAGCGTCGCTGGGGTTGGCTGTGAGCCAGCGGGGGGCCACCGCCTCCACCGCCGCCGCTGCTGCTGCCGCGTACTCTCAGTGGTTCGGTAGTGCCGGGTGTTTGTTTGCAAGTGCATAGGAATTAGCCAGGCTGCGTTGGGCAGGCGTGTTTGGGCTGGCGAGATTCCCACGCTGCTGGGGTATCCCCCAAGCTGCCACACAATGCCTGGACACGGCGGCAGCAGCTGCTGCTCCGTCCATCTGTTTATCCATCTGTGCTCGGCTGGCCTGTGAGTGCCGAGGCGGCAGCAGCAGCAGTAGTAATAGTAGTAGCAGCAGCAGTAGTAATAGCAGTGACAGTAGCAGTAGCAGTAGTAGTAGCAGTAGCAGCAATAGCAGTAGCAGTAGCAGTAGCAGCAATAGCAGCAGTGGCAGTAGCAGCAGCAGCAGCAGCAGCAGCATCATCATCATCATCAGCAACAGCATCATCATCATCATCAGCAGCAGCAGCAGCAGCAGCAGCATCATCATCATCAGCACCAGCAGCATCATCATCATCAGCAGCAGCAGCAGCACCACCACCACCACCATCACCGCAGCAGCAGCAGCAGCAGCATCAGCAGCAGCAGCAGTATCATCAGCAACAGCCTCCGCTGGTAGAGGCTGGGTCAGTCGTCAGTGCGACCAGCGGCATGAGAGAAATCCCGATGATTTTAATAATAATAATTATATTTATTGAATTATATCGCGCAAGTTACATGCAAATATGTTCACGTGCGCATTACAAAGGCTGATTATAAAATAGCGGACTGCAACACTGCAAACATATAGATCTTAGATCTTAGATCTAGATAGATATTATCAGGAGCGTATAATGACAATTTGTCATTATATATACGCTCCTGATATTATGCGTAGGATAGAAGTTTAAGATGGTCTTCTAGTTAATGTTGCATGCCTAACAACGTTAGATGGTATCGTCTAGTCTACGCGTGTGTATAATGCTATGTATATGCGTGTATATAATGACGCTGGCTTTAATGGCAGTCATCGCGTGGCTAGCCTTTGACCTTTGGCGCGTCATCTCTTAATAAGATGCGCCTTAAAAATGACGAGTTGTTGTTACACTCGCGGGCGTGCGCATTAAAATTACAACAGCGTTCAGCGAAACAGGTTGAACCGCGGCGGATTATAATTACACAGGGGAGCGAGTGTCGTCATTGGCCGCTAGGGGGCAGAACAGGCGTCGACGCAAGATAAATCGACGTGCTGCTGTCGCGCGGCGCGTTCATGTGTTTTGGACCTCGTCCGCGCGGCTTGGATGCATTTAAAAAGCAGCTAGCGTTGGGAGGACGCTATGAAGCGAAAACGCTAGGCTTTATAGGTTTATAGATGCACGCTAGATGCACAACACGTCGTTTGACTTGCTCCGTTGGAATGGGTTGCCTGTAGAAGGCAGCATGGCGTAGCGACGTCGGGGTCAGTCTAACCGCACTTACCTGTAATGCATTCAAGGATTGCATGCCGTGAACCGTGAGAAGTGGCTTTGATTTATGTGGGCGGGTTAGAAGTGGGCGGTTTGGGAATAAATCGTTACCAAATAAGTTTATATTGATGCGAATAAAGTTGCAAAATAGTGGGTGCGAGTCATGCCTTTACTAGAGTCAAAGGACTGAATGCTGAAAAGATTTATATTTATGGTAAAGAAGTGCTCGAAAAATAATTGGGGTCCTGCAATGAGCTTCCTTGATTTTGCATAAGAAAACATGTAAAAGCATCTTATGTAAGCATTGGTGCATGTGTAATTGCACGACTGTTGTATAAACGATTAATAATTAGCATATATCTACATCTAGGGTCGAAGAAATCTGATGGGTGAGAAAAGTTTATAGAAATTAAGCTCCAAACTCCAATTTCAAGTATTAGTAAGTTTTTAAGTAGCAATTCTGATATAGGCGTAGCTAATCTGAATTATTATTAGTAACAGTAAGTAAGTTAATAATTAAAACAAGTAAGTTAAAAAAGTAAGTAAGCTATGTAGAAGCTTCAGTAATTCTGACACAGACGGCGCTGCTATAGCTAGGTCGCCATGGCGGCAGCGTCAGCGTGTAACGCTAGTTACTCGACCTCCGCTGTCGCACTTTATATTACAACGGCATTTATCGTGCAGCTAGTGCAAAGTGCGAGCGAAAGACTGCGAAATGTTAGATCCGCCACTGTTTCTCCGCCCCTTCTCCCCCTTTCTCTTTCTCGTGCTCTCTCTCTCTCTCTCTCTCTCTCTCTCTGTCTCTCGCTCTCTATCTATCTATCTCGCTCTCTCTCTCTCTCTCCCACTCATCACCGCGTCCCGTCCCCAGTAACCCTGTTTACAGGACTTACTCACACGCGATACGCGAGCGAGTGAGTGAGAGAGCTCACGGTACAGCGAACGCGGCCGGGAGTGTTTGGCAAGCCAATATTTGGCCAGGGGAACCTGTTATTACACAACCCACGTAAAACCCTTTACCCTGCTCCCTCAGGCTACGTGTAGTCGTAGCTGTGTTGTTTGTGGAGATATCCGGAATGGTTCTTTTCTTTCACGCAGAGTATGGTCACTATGGTGGCCCGAATAAACATTAAATTATTCGCTAAAGTTTGAATACGTGATTATCACTTTAAGTAGTCCGGGATGCATCAGTCGGGGATGTGTTGGTCATCTGTGGAGGAGGGCGCTGCGTGCGTAATCAGTTCTCAGCTAGAGGCGTAAGAATAAAAGTCACTGTGCAGGAATGAGATCCGATTTTTACTGACGAATTTTTACCTGTGCACATTTTCATTATTATAGAAATAGAGCGCGGAATCGCAGCAACAGACGTCACCATGATCCCTTTAGCTCAGGGGTTCTTAACCGGTGGTCCATGAGCCCCTTTGGGGGGGTCCGTGGATGGGCTTCAGTGGGTCCGTGGATGGGCTTCAGGGGGTCCGTGGATGGGCTTCAGGGGGTCCGTGGATGGGCATCAGGGGGTCCGTGGATGGGCTTCAGGGGGTCCGTGGATGGGTTTCAGGGGGACCGTGGATGGGCTTCATGGGGTCCGTGGATGAGCTTCAGGGGGTCCGTGGATGGGCTTTAGGGGGTCCGTGGATGGGCTTCAGGGGGTCCGTGGATGGGCTACAGGGGGTCCGTGAACCCCAGTGTATGCACAATTTTGTGTTTATGTGTTATATGCATTTTTCTGGGAAGGGGTTCGTAGCTTTCACCAGATTCTCAAAGAGGTCCGTGACTCAAAAAAGGTTAAGAACCACTCATCTAGCTGCTGCTGCTGCTGGTGGTGGTGGTGATGGTGATGGTGGTGATGCTGCTGCTGCTGCTGCTGCTGGTGGTGGTGGTGGTGATGGTGATGGTGGTGATGCTGCTGCTGCT